CCTTTTAGCCTGGTCAGCATGCGCTAACCCAAGCTCCGTCCAACACGTTCAAGACGCAGCTCAGCTATGCCAGTTGCTGACCGGTCAATATTTCCGACTGTGCAAGGCAGGCCGCTGGCCATGTTAACAGAGATTAGCTCGGCGCTACGCGGTCCGTCACGTCTGACGTTATCTCAGCTCAGCCATACAGTCAGGTGCAAATCTCCCCTCTCACATATAATATAGCAAAAAGTGAAAAGAGTGAGGGGGTTCAATTTTGTGTGTTAAATATTTGTTAATTTAAAGAGTAAGTTCCAATAATATAATTAAGGGTAAGGCTTCTGTCTGGTCCGGGATCGGACTGGACCGTGTTGTTGGGCACGTGGGGGCCCATCACGGGTCCTGTTTTGATAATCTGAACCGTTCAATGTGTAGAACTCGTCAAATACTATATGCCTGTAAAAAATCACGTTGATCGGATGTAGATAGCTATGTGATCAAAGCAGTTTTTTTGTCAACCGTTAATTTGTTCACCGTCTAATTTTTTTAATACGAAACTGATTTGATCATATAGCTATCGATATCCGATCAATGTGATTTTTTACAGGCATATAGTTCTCGACGAATTCTACACATTAAACGATTCAGATTATCAAAACGGGACCCGTGGTGGCCCTCCACGGGCCCAACAGCACGGTCCAGTCCGGGATCGGACTGGACAGAAGCCATACATTATAATTAAACTGTGTTAAAAATATGACTCATGTAAAAGCGAAGTCCACTTAGATAGAGTCTCTCCCCGGTTAGGCTATGTTTGTTTGGGTGGAGATGAGTTTGGAATTGGATTAATAATCCAATAAAATTATTAATCCGATATTTGGCTAAACAATTGAAGTACAAATTAATAATTCATCCGGATATAGTATTCTACATATGATAGACTATTTAATCCCACAGAGGGGGTGAGATATATATTGGAGGACTAAGCTAAAGTCTAGACTATTAGTCTATTCTTATAATCCTAATTCAATCTAAACATAGGATATGATACGTAGTCTTAAGACTATTAATCATAAAAATGTTAATCCAAACTAAATCAATCCGTCCAAACAAACATAACTTAGTGTTTGCACTAATTATTGACATGGCTTATTAGGGCAGTCCTGTTTTTTAAAGCTATTGTTAGTACCAAATCTTGAACGCAAAGATTCTTATCGAAGCCGTGAGAAAGATAGGAATCCTCTAATTCCGATCATCCCACGTACCCTCTGCTGACCAATAACTAGAGGCAATGGGTCCCAACATAGAGGGCCACTCCTCTTCATTTTTAATGGCTCGAGCAGGACAAGCAATCTCCTCAAGAATGGGCAATCAACAACAAAAATTATTGATATTTGGCTATAATGAGATGGCTAAAAGAGCTTTAGAACGTTTGGTTTGGTTTAGTTTTGAGAATTAAATTTGAATGATAATATTTTAAGAAGCATTTGTAAATTTGAAATTTCATTTAATTGTATATTTTGAAAATAGTTTGGAAATGATTTGTAAATTTTTTTTGCAGTTAAATAGACAAGTGTGATAAAAAAAAATGATTGATTAATGTATATAATGTGAGAGAATGAGAGATAAGAGAAAAAAAATGATTGATTAATATGTACAAATAAAAAAAGAGAGGAGAGAAAGAACAATTTTGTATATAATTTTTCTAAAATTGTTAAACAAACAATTTTTTAAAAAACATTTCATTACAAAAATTGGTTTGAAATATAACCAAACACAACCAAACTTTGTTAAGTGATGTGTCAATTGTGAGAGCCCACTAACTGCGACGAGAGTGAAGGACAACTCCTGCCACATGGCAAGTGGGATACACTTTGGCTATCTTTGGAAAGTCAAGTTTGGATTTTTTTTTTTTTGTGTGTGGTTATTTTAGTCAAAAAAATAAAATAAAAAAAATAAATAAAGTAAGTTTTTTAATTTAATAAAGTAAAAGATTATATTTCATTTATAATTATTACATTTTTTCTTTTACAAAAAAGTTTAAAAAGCCAAAATCCCTTTCCAAACGAGACTTTTTAACTCAACGCTAAAATAGTCAAAAAAAACTAAAAGGTCAAAAATTCAACTCACCTCTCAAATGAACCCTTTCACATAATATATATATATATATAAAATAGTTTAAAAAGATTTGTGCAATGCATTAACTATTATTACAGTATGTTTAAATTTTATATTTTGATAATTTTTAAAAAATTGGAATATTGTTCTGTGAAATTAAATAGAATAAATTATTAGATATATGATAGAATTATATGGTATAATATGTATTATTTTTGGTTTGTTATACACCTAATGGCGTATTCCTTCCGAATTTATAAAAAAAAAAATTATGATGTGTAACTTTTCTCAACAGGTAAATACAAAACAAATATTAAAACCATCTCCAATAGTTACTCAAATCTGTCATCAAATTTGAATTTGATGAAAAATAGCTCTATTTCCTGTTCCAACGGTTTCATCGAATAGGTATCAAATTTAGGATTTCACTTTTCTTTCATCAAACTGATAACTAATGTGTCTTTCATCAAATTACTGTTCATAACCGTTTGATTTTCACCACTGGATATCTCTCGGATGACCACCTCAAGGTAAAAATTTGTAAAAAAATTACACTGGCCGGTCAACCCTCCAGTTGACCACCTAAAGGCAAAAATTTGTGAAAAAATTACACTGGCCGATCGACCTCCCAGTCGTCTTTTCGGTCGTCCTCTTGAAGGACCACCTCAAGGCAAAAATTTGTGAAATTTACATTGGCCAATCGACCGACTAGTGTTTTGATGAAGCTTCAAAAACCTTCGTTGGAGATACTTTTACTCAAATTTGTAAAAAATTTGATACACCGTTAGAGATGCTCTAAGATAATTTTCCCATTTAAAAAAAAACTACTAACATAATTAACTGAACTAATAAAGAAGCAGAAGAAAATACATATATATATATACACAAATGACTAATTTTATTAATACATAAATCATACTCGCATAACAAATTACCAATTTTATTAATAAGTAAATTATGAAATAAATTAACAAATTTTAATGATACGAAAAATATTTTCAGTTAACCATTTTGTTTATAAATAAATCATTAAGTCAATTAACGGTTTTTAATGATATGAAAAATATTTTTCAATAAACAATTTTGATAATTTATTATTGTATAAGATAATATTTTTTTCGTGAATATTGTGTTAAATTAAAATTTATAACAAACAATAATTGTAAGTTCTAGTATTACTAGACTGATTTATATTTTAAACAAATCTTATAGATGTATTTGTAATTCGTTAAAAAATAAAAGATTTATATTTTATAATTGACCATAAATATTACATAATTACGAAAAAACCTGTTTCAAAATTGACCAAGAATGTTTGCGTAATTATTAAAAAATATTCACTCAACATATAAGTCACCATTAGTAAATTATTCAAAATGAAAAAGGTAAAATCAGAAAAAAAGGACGAATCTTAAACAAGTAAGTGATTCTTATATATATATATATATATATATTATTCACTTAACATACATTTTAGAGCAATCACTGCCTTTTTAAATAAATAAATATTTAACATATAAAATTAGATTATATCTTTATTACTGTTTATCATACTACACATTTTAAAACATAATTTTAACTAATTCATTGAAGATGCTCTTATTAGTTTAACAACAACATTGAAGACAAAATGATGGAAGCGAATTATATTAGTTGAACATCGTCACAAAACGACTTGGAGACGATGCTATTTCTGATATAAATTTAAACAGATGTATTTATACATGTCCTTGCGATTTTACATTCATTTTTTAGGAATAAAATTCTCTCGTGGGTTTCTCAATTAGATCATATTATTATGGAGTCTACATCAATGATTCTAATGCAAGACTAAATTATTTATGTCAGTATATTGATCCATATAATATGATAATATGAATTAGAGATTTGACAAGATTATGATTCCATATTTTTTACTACAATTAATTGGTAATAAAAGAAGAGTGTTTTCCAAGTATCTTACCTTAATGACAAAGTGAAATTACTGTTGAATAAGGAAACTAGTCCTTTCTCTCTACCTATAAAAGGACATACAAACTACCTATCAAAATAATTCTTAATTCAATGTATTCTAAAGAAGGTGAAGAGAGTAAAACCTTTTCCCACTAATATTGATATTAGATTTACGTTCAATCAATTATGGATCACTAATCCGGGTATGTTATTTATTTTCCGCATTGTGATTTATTCGTGAAAATAATGATAGTTTACGCTTTTGGATTATGAAAGTTGTTATATGTATAACACCATAAAATTATTTACATCTAATTGTTCAATGGGTAGGATTCATTGAATATTTCATTCTTGTAAAAAATTATATTCATCATATATCAATAGTCACTTGATCATAACACATTTATGTCAATAATTTATTTTTAAAATCATAGTTACCATTGACATAAATTTAATCTGATTAAGTGACTATCGATATCCAATTAACTAATTTTTTACAAACATAAAAAATTAAATGAACTCTACTCATTGAATAGTTTATATCATTGATATGGATTTCTTAATAAACACATAGAACCCAATAATACGCTTTAGTCTAAAATCAGATTGAGGACAAGTTTGTGACTATTTTTTGTGTTTTCGAATCAACATGATATCATGTTGATTAATCATGGTTAAAAATCAACAAAAATAATTGGAATTGTTATTGAATTATTTATATAATAATAAAAAAACAAAAACAACAACAAAAAATATAAACGTTGTTGGTGGCCCTATAAAAACAAAGTTGGCGCGTCTCTCCATGTTATAACGAAACGCAGTAGTAATTTGAATTCCCGCTAACAGCTCCATGTCAAGCCTCGCCCTCGCTCCTTTTCAAAATTTTAAAAACATCCCTCCTCCAACCCCCGCCAAACTCAACAACTTTTTCTTAACGGTCCCTTCTTCTCTCTCTCTCTCTCTCTCTCTCTCTCTCTCATATATATGTATCCCAACAACACACTCTTCTCTCTCTCTCTCTCTCTCTCTCTCTCTGTGTTTTAGAGTTTAGATTTGATATATTCCTTCAGATCTGGTGTAACAATGGCGTTGCCTCCATCTGCATCCAATGAATCTGGATCTGCCAATTTTCCCTATTGCAGAAAGCAGAAATCTCTTGGTCTCTTATGCACCAAGTACTCTCTCTCTCTCTCTCTCTATATATATATATATATATATATAAGGAAAATTGAAACCAAACATAGTGTATAATTTTTTTTCTTGTTTTTTGATAAAATTGTGGCAGTTTCTTGAGCTTGTACAATCAAGACAACGTGGAAACAATCGGACTTGACGATGCCGCCACTCGATTAGGTCTTGATCTGATCTATCATCATCTCCATCTCTTTCTAATTTATGTCTATGACTTTGCACTAATTCTATAACTTGTCACTTTTGTGGTTTTGTAGGAGTTGAGAGGCGTCGGATCTACGACATCGTCAATGTACTAGAAAGTATTGGTGTAAGATCTCTAATTCCCCCCTTCTTCTTCTTCTCCTTTTTTTTTTTTTTTTATAAATTTATCTTTTTTTTCAGCATCTTGACCTCCACATATCATAATTTATCTTACTCTATTAGGGTTTTGATAATTTTATTCAGGTTCTTGCAAGAAAGGCAAAGAATCGATATTCTTGGAAAGGGTTTGGAGGAGTTCCAAAGACTCTGCAGCAGCTAAGGGTAATTAATTGTTATTATATGTTGATTTGTTACATATCCATGAAGTTTTGATTCTGCAACTTGGGTTTTTGTAGCTTATTTATTTGATAGCTTTTTTTTTCTTCTTCTTGATGCTGTGATAGGAAGAGGGTTTGAGGGAGAATTTCAATACATTCAATGGAAATAACTATGTAAAAGTAAGTTAATTAGGGCTTTTAGTTGAACAAATCTTTAGTTCTTAGCAAATTGGATTTGGGTTTTTTTTTTTTTTAATTTATTGCAGGGCTGATATTTTTATTACTTTCTTATTAGGTTTCAGATGATGATGAGGATGAGAAAATTTCCAATCCAATTACAAGCCAGAATGACAAACTAAACCCTAGTTCTGTCACTAAATCTTCAACAGCATCCAAAACTGGTATAGTGTTAAGAACTAAATGCAATACTTGCATATGCTACTTACTGATCTTTTTGTTTTGTCAATTGGTAATTATACTTGAACAATTGGACAAGTCAATGTTATTTTGTAATTTTATGTTTTGAGTCTTGGGTCAATTGTTGAACTCACCATGAAGGGATACTTTTGTTGACAGATAATAGGAAGGAAAAATCTTTGGGACTTCTTACACAGAATTTTGTCAAGCTCTTCCTTTGCTCTAATGTATGTAAAAGTTTTAAATTATTGCACTCTATTGTCTATCCTGTTATGCATAAGTATCTATTAGCTTTGGCCTGATTGTTTAAAACCACTTTCTTTAGGTTGATTTGATCTCCCTTGAGGAAGCTGCTAAGATATTGCTTGGGGATGCACATGATCCATCAATGATGAGAAGTAATGATTCTTCACTTGGCTATCTGAATATTTTACTGATTGAAGGAGTGTTGATAAACTTTTAGCTAACACTTTCTTCATAAGATAATTCTGCAGCTAAAGTTAGACGGTTATATGATATTGCAAATGTGTTGTCTTCAATGAATTTCATTGAGAAGGTACCGTTACATATGAAATTACTCTCTTAATTTCTCTCAGTTCATTTAAGTTATGTTAAAGTAATCTAATCTGGATCTTTCTTGAATGGCACTCAGACCCATCATCCAGAGACAAGGAAGCCTGCCTTCAGATGGTTGGGAACGAGAGGAAAATCTGATAATGGATCTGCAAATACTTCTGTTCTTAATGAGTCCAAAAAAAGGATATTTGGGACTGAGATCACAAACACCAGTTTTAAGAGGACCAAGGTGGTTTCAACAATTGATGAGAATTCCAAACAGATTACAAAGACGCATTTGCAAATGCTTGTGAAATGTGAGGATTTGGAAAATGAGGTTGATAAGAGCAATTTTGAACAGGATTTAAGACACAGTTCTAAGAATTTCCAATTTGGTCCCTTTGCTCCGGTCACGGTCCATGTGTCCAAATTTGGCGCTACCCAGAATAGTACGGTGAAACAGGTTCACGATTGGGAAAGTCTAGCCTCTACTTATCGTCCTCAATATTACAACCAAGGTATTGTTCGTGATTCATTGATTCAATATCAGTTGTCAAATTCTTGTAGCTGTAATGTTATTATTTATTGATGTAGTGGTAAAGTTTACATTGTGACCCACCTGAGCTTGAAGTAATACTAGTAAAAAGGTACACGGAATAATTATAGTTGGTAAAACAGGAAAAAAAAATAAAATTGTGACAATCCAATCCAATATGCAGATATTCGCATGCTTGGAATCCAGAATCCCTTTCTTAGTAGTCTCCAAACAATGTTAATTTTCCATTTTTGTTAATAAAAATTTATAAATTGAAAGAAAATATAATCGATAAAGCATTTTTAGTGTTTTTTTTTTATTATTAGCAAAAGTCAATTGTTAGATTAGTAAAATGAGAGTTAGCCTCTAACCTTGCAAAGCATGGAGTGCTTGAACCCATGACTTTCTCCTCGGGACTAAGCCCTTAAGAGAGTCATGGTAGCCAATTAAGTTAGGCCTAGTTGGCTATAAAACATTTGCCAATAGAGATAATGATTTACCTTTTCTTTCTGCTGAGTATTTTTTGTTTTCGTTTGGCACTAAAATATACTAACAAATATATATATATTTTTTCTTTCTTTTTTAATATTGTTTCAGCTTTGAGAGATCTCTTTGCTCATTATGTGGAAGCATGGAAATCTTGGTGCTCTGAAGTTGCCGGGAAGAACCCGATACAACTAATCTCCTGATGGGTTCGTCAATTCACCCACAAGTTCCTTTAACTGATCAACTACATAACCAGATGATTGATTCCTTTTTATTTTCTTTCATAATTGACAAAGAAGAGATGGCCTTGTCGAATGCATTATCTCTTTGCATTCTATTATTCATTTTTCTAATTAATTTAGGTTCTTCATTTGATACACCCTTATGAGTGTTGATGTCACTCTACAAATGTCTCTCTTTCTTCTTCTTTATTTTTTATTTTTAATACAAACTATCAAATAATGTTTTGTAGGTTCTCAGAGAGAGAGAGAGAATTTTTGCCAAATTTTGGTATTCTGCTATAATTTAGCATGAAAAATATCAGTTCATCAGAAATGAATTTGAAAAAGTTGCTAAATTTTAACTTCGACATAGAAGATAACACATGAATTGTAGGTGCTCTAATGTTGTGTTTGGTTGGGGAATTTGGAGAGGGATTTGGAACGGGAAAGGGAAAAGATGTATGACATTAAGTGAAATATAAGTATATTTTATTCACATTTTATCTATCTTTTTCATTTTTGTTTTTAAATTCTTTCTTAAATCTTCCAACCAAACACAACATAAGAGTATATAAGTGTGAAAAACAAGACTAACTTCCTGGCCCCAAGATATGCATTTTCAGGTGATCTCCATGTGATATATAGGATATAGTGTAACTTTGTGAGGGCATTCATTTGATGGAAAAACGTCTTTATCTTTAATGTTTAAATACTATTCTAATGTTTTTAGTGGGAAAAAGAGTAGGCATTTGACGAGCTTCTAAATCACAAACTCATCTCCTAGAATGTTTAAAATGCAATTTTAGACAACTCTCTACACATCAATAGGATGTCATCCCAAGGACAATGCATAGATCATCAATGCTTTAACATGAAAATTGCAATCATAAAGAGTTGGAATAAAATTACTTGCTAGTTCGATTGGATGTACTAGATATCACGCAATGTAGACTGTCGTTTGAGTCCAAAAGCCGAGCATCTCAAAGATATTCTACGGACTCAAAAGAGTCACGTGATTGTCCAAATTGTATAAGAGAAATAGAAATACAAAACTGAGGTTTGATTACCGAGTAGTCTTTGATTCAATCTTGCAAATCAAAATAAATGCTCATTGTTAAATGAATTAGTTATCGGTGTGAAAAGTTGAGAAATAGAAATACAAAACTGAGGTTTGATTACCGAGAAAGTCTCATTTATGATAGAACTTAAATCATTGACCTCCTTATAAGAAAATACTTCTTTCTTTTTTATGTGATGGTTTCAGATTACTTATATTTTTTTGTAAAATCAAAAAAGCTCATTCTAGAGCTTGATTTCCTGGAGTTGAACGGAGTTTTATTTTCTCCTTTATTTTTGTTTGCATGCAAACATATGTCCCCAAAATCATACTTGTAATTTATTTGTTTGCAAACCGTTGGTATTTTAGTATATTAAAATACAAATCAATTTAGTTTTAATTCTAAAAGAACTTAGATATAATACTTAGCTTGGCGATATTTGAACAGGAGTATGCCATGCTAATGCAATTTTGATGATTCACATCCCAAGGTCGGACGCTGATAAGCATATTGAACTACTCATGTGACTAAGACCTCACACAACATTGCAATTATTAGGGACACTATCTCCCATTAAACTGTTTGCAATTGTTTGAATGTTATATAAAACTTGTTTATTAAGGCCTTAGGTAGAGTTGTTAAATAAATCAAATTACTTGAGTTTGACTTGTGTTTGACTTGTTAAAAGTTCGTTTAAGATTGACATGTAAATAAACAAAGCTTGAATACAATTTTAAACTCGTTAAGTTTTTAATCCAAATTTAAACATGTTACTTGGCTCAAAAATTATACATGCACTATAAAAAAATCAAGCTACTCGAGCTTAACTTGTGTTTGACTCGTTAAAAACTCATTTGAAATTGATTCATTATATAAACAAACTAAACTTAAATATATTTTGAAACTCGTTAAGTTTTTAAACTAAACTTAGACGAATTACTACTCAATTTGTTTACCGCCCTAGCTTTAGGAGCCTTTAGATCCCCATTTCTCCCCTTAAATCATTCCCTTACCTATTTTAGGGGGTTAAAGCCCCCTTATATCACTCGGGTCCTGTTAGGTTTCATGAAAACTGTCATGAAAATCATCTGCACCGTTGGATCATGAGACACATACATGATCTAACGGTGCAGATGGTTTTCATGATGGTTTTCATGAAAATTCTTCATGAAACCTAACATTTCCCATATCACCCCTATCAGCTCCCTTATACCACACTCTAAACTAATATTTGCTACAGTGACTCTTTATTTGTAGAGAGTTAATGTAGCTCCCTTATATATATATTGTTTTGCTTTGTTTAGGGAGTGCAGTACACATTTATAATTCTAATCTCTTTTAATTTTATTATTAATGAAAATCCTAAGTGATTCGTGATTAGATCAAGATTCAAATATTCCAAATCCCAAAAATCCAAAACACACAATCTAAATCAACAAGCACTTACGAAAGTGATTTAGATTGTTTGTTTTTCAGAATAAATAATAAATCGACACAAACGATTTTTACGTGGAAAAAATCACAATTGGACACCTCCAACTGTGATTAAAAAACCACGGGCGAAACGCCACTAATCAATCCACTACTGAAGTAAGAAAGATTACAAAGATAACATACAAATTACCCAACTCAGTCAATTTGTCTTCGAATCTTCTGTAACTCTTTCTCCACGACTTCGTCTCGGAACTGATCAATCCTGAAGTTGATTCCACAACCTCATTTGTCGAATTAACGACTACGTATAAAATCAAACGCCTTTTGAAATTATACGCTTGAATCTTCGGAATCCACCGAAGAGAACTCTCTTTTGAACTTAAAGTAACCAACTCCTTGATGTATGTATTTTAGATCAGGAGTGAAGAACTCTTCTCAAAACATCAAGGAAAACTCACCAAAACTTTAGAAGAACACTTCAAACAAAACCCTAGGACTCTTGAATGAGATCTAGGAAAAAAGTAAACCTAAAACAGACCCAACAAGCGAATTTATAAATCTGAGATCGCGCGGTCCGCTCGAGCGTGGGTCTTCCCGCTCGAGCGGAGACTTCAAGTTCTGTGATTTCATACAGGCTCCACGCTCGAGCGGCAGTTTCCACGCTCGAGCGTCGAATCATACCATCCAGTACTTTTTCAGGCGACTGCAGAGATGCTGAGAGCTTCCAATCCCCGCTCGAGCGTCACTTTCCTCGCTCGAGCGGGGAGACCAAAATTTGAAAAAACTGGAAAACTGAAACCTGTAACAACCTTGGTTTTGATCCATGGATTTTAACAACAAAGGGTCCTAACAATTAAAAATAATATTTTAATAGAATAGAAAAAAATTGAGAGTTTGTTAATAAAATAGAGAGAGAGAATAGGGAGTTTGTTGGGAGAAGTAGATAAAAAAGTGATTTCTAAAATAAGGAATGAATTTTTTAATAATATTTTAAGGTAAGGGGTACATACACTTTTCACTTCTGTACTTTTATTCAAATTTTATTTTAATTTCTATAACTTTAGAGTAATGTTAGAAATCTACAAAGATTTACCAAATGTCCAGTTGGGGTTTTTGTTGTGCCTTATAGCATAGTAGGCTGCTATGAGGCCTATTGAGGGCATGTCCCGAGTCTTTTTAGATGATCCTAACCTTTTATATTGTGATGTTTGTCAAATAGATCATCCATGCAAAAAATCAAATAAATTGGACATCTGCGGCCTCCTAATAATAGCACATTTGTTTTTCAAAAAATAAATGGTTAACATGATTTTTATAATTTTTAAAAACAATTTGGACTTGATCATGGGGTTATAGATATCCGATTAATTTGATTTTTTATATGGATGATATACTCTACAAACCTTATAATATGAACAGTTCAAATTATCAAAATACAATCAGAAAATACTCCTACGAGACATCACAACAGGACTGCTGTGCCATAAGGCACAACAACAACCCTCAACCCCAAATGTCTCACATAAGTGTGGGATGTGGATCTCATACCTATGTGAGGCATGTGGTAAAAATTTTAATAAATCTTTTGGGATTTTTGACATTTTTTATATTTTTAAATTGAATAATTTGATTTGTATACTTTAAGTATAGTATCAATTTAGTCATTTCATGGAGATTAAAATTAAAAATTTTAGAAACACTTGTCAATTTTTTAAGGTGTACAAATAAAAAAAAATTAACAAAAATCTAGATGAAAGGACCAAATTAAATTAGACTTACAATGTAGGGATTAAATTATTCAAATTAAAATAATAAGGCCTAAAATAAAATTTGGGCCAAACAAATTTGAAAATAGCGATTGGCTTCTAGTATACCTATTTTGTGTTGGATTTACCAAATATTATTTCCTATAAGTTTTTGGGAGAGGGGAAATATCTTTAGTATGCGTGTAAGGTTTCCAACAGAGAAAGAGGTCATTTTAAGGGTTGGTTTTCTACTTTTTTTATTTTTTATTTTTTTATCAGTAAAGAGAAATTTCATTTAATAGTATGAAATTAAAGGTACAGAAAAATGACATGCATCGAGAGAGATTCGGAAGTATAAAAATATCACTACTACTGCTACTCGCATCCATACAACCAACCCCTAAGCTTCTCGATTTTTTAAACAAAAAAGTTAAGAAGAACTTAACTAGAGAATTAAAATACATGAATCCCCACATATTCAACCCACCAAAACACCCAATACAAACTAAACGAACTACCCTGCACCCAAACTGAACTAAATTAACTAAACCAACCCCGGGGACAACACCAACGCCTCTGCCAAGTCCACTCCTCCGACGCTGCTGCAAGAACAAGACACGCCTCTGCAGCTTCAACCACCCTCTCCTAGTCCAGCTTCAAGGGTTGGTTTTCTACTTTGGTTCAAGTATTATGTAATAGGGTTAATTATATTTTTGGTCTTTAAAGTCTCATATTATTTTGGTTCTTAATGTTTAAATTATATCAATTTAGTCTTTTGTATATAAAAAATATTTTAATATAGTCTCTCAATGGGGGTGTTTGGCAAGAAAAAAAATAGCCTAGTTTAGGCTAAAATTCACAAAAAGACAAAATAGGCTAAAATAGCTAATAAGACAAAATATTACTTCAAACCCATAATTATTTCACTTTTTCTCTCACAAA